GATCCTGCCGCCCTATCCAACCACCTAATGTCAGTAAATTAAAGCTTGCCAAAAATCAATAAACTTTTCTTTTGATTATACCAGTAGAACTATTTAAAAAAAAAAAAAAATTAAATGAAAATTTTGATTGCCGAATGTAGGTTTCACCACAAAATGTAAAATGTCGAACCCAAGATTAGGCGAAATTGGCTTGCAAAAATACTTTAGGCTCAGGAGTGTCTGGCGTGCGTTTTTTGTTTGCTTGTAAGGTGGTACAGTCTAATGTAAATACAAGCGCAAAGAGCAAACAAATGGAAAACTCTTTCCAACTGCTGCAGCGGCAAAGTGTAAAATCTGGCAGCGACATACAATTCAGCTGGCAACGCCACTTAAAACCTCAAAGGTTCGAATGTGCAAGGTGAACACTGAACGCGGAACGCGGAACGCTGAACGCTGTTTGGCAGCGCTGTCAACTATATATCTCTCACTCACTCTGTCGGTTGTTACTCGTACCACATAATGAAAAACGGAAACGGAAATTACGTATTGTCTTCCACGCCGGCGTTGGCATACCAAATCTAAGCGACATACACACAAGCACACTTTCATTTGTGATTATTATTTGTGGTTTTTTCTTTGTTTTGCTTGTCACTTGCCGTTGATTGTTTATTCGCCGCCGCAAATGTTTACTATTGCGGTTTTCGTATTTGTGGTGTTTGCTTGTTATTTTTGTTGTCTGTATGTGTGTGTGTGTGTGTGTGTGTGTGTGTGTGTCGCTGATGAGCTGCCAAAGAACTTTTCACATTCTTTGCTGTCAATGTGGCTTCAGCAGTCGGCAACATTTTCACTACCGATTTTCTTCTCCGATTCGCCTCAAGTTTGCTTGCCAACATGGTTTGGCTGGATACAGCTATTGGGCTGCCAACTGCTCATTAGACGCATTGCCACCTAATGTATGTACAAGTACAAATACATACATATAATTTATGTTTTATATTCTACTGCTAATGTTTGCTTTAGCTTGTAATAGGAAGCTGCGAATGAAATGCTGCGAGATGTTGGTGATTACTTGTGTGTTTCGAAATTATTTGACATTTCCGTTGCCTAATTTTAGCTGCGCTGAATGCTTTTATTGCGAAATAACATATCATAGTTACGAGAGGTGCCTTATAAATGATTTCTACTGCTCCTAATGAGTTGAGGTTTCTTATGGCCTAATTTTTGTATTATTCCAACTAGTAGTGTAAGAGTTATGGAGAAATATCTAAAAATAAGGGACAGACAGCGTTTACATGTAAGGCGTAGCCGTATTTTAGGCAAATATCTATAAACATGCCACGACCAACCCACGAAGAAACTTGGTTCTGCTTTTAGGCGAAGTGCTTTTAAAACATAAAAAAAAAATAATTTCTAACTCATCGTGAGAGAGATGATCCATAACGTGGAATCAGTAGCCTACTTTTACGCGTCTAACTATAAACATGCCACGGTCAGCCATAATAGAGAAACTTTATATTCCTAGTCTACTTTTAGGCGAACTGAAAAATGCTAAAGCTGTTGGCAAATAGATTTGATTTTAAAAGCCGTTTGGGGCATTGAAAGCCTTTTGCTGGCCATTTCCATTCTGACGTGGTGTGACATTTGTATGACAAAATGTTAAAAGATAAAATGAGAGGCAAATTTTTAAAAAGGTAAGTAGCCCTTTATTCAGTAAATAAATTACAACTGATAGTAGAGATGTAAAGATATAAGCAAACATATGCGCTGGCGTGATGTTACAGAAGTGGGTTTTGACTTGGGTTTCAAAATTGCCAAACTCTGCGAATTAGAATTTGAATATTTGAAATTTGTACGGTTAAGTAGTCTAAGCGCCAATCTATTGCTGTTACTTTAAGGTTAGTTAGTTTTCCAAATTTTTAAAAGAAAAAATTGTTCCTGTTTTTTTTTTTATCAGACGTGATGTGTGATATTATGTTCCCTATAGGGAACCACACGAACTATAAATGCACTATAAGTTCACTATTCTTGAACTAGGGGTGACTACGCCTCGACTACTTTACATACGTTCCTTTTAACTGGTCCAAACAATTTTTTTCCCGAGGTAGGGTTTGGGACACCTTCCAAATTTTTTCCTCTTGCCGAAAGAGGTGCTGGGATCAAACTTAACGTTTCTAAGTATAAAATTAATAATAATAATAATTAACCAATTGGTTAAGCAAAAAAAATATCACAAGCTTCAGTTGTCATGACAACAGTGGCTTCTTATAAAAATCGCCAATATTTTTGCTAGTTTCACAGCGATCCAGTAGCGCATTTCAAAGTCATTGAGCACCCTCTATTGGTTACAGTAAAAAGCTAAAAACTCGTTAAAAAGTAAAAAATAATTTATTGAAATACAGATTTCATTTAAGAGTGCCCTAACTAGATTTAATTAAACTTTTAAAACCAACCTGAAATAGGATTAGAGTAGATGACATTAAAATTAATTTTACCGGAATACAAAGCTTTTAGCTTTAAATTAAGCCTAAGTCGAAGGTTCTATCACCTTATCTCTCTTTGTTAAAGCTTATGAAATATTGCAAAAAACGCAATTTTTTGACACTCTCACCTTGTTTTTTCGCAAAACTTTATTTTTACGGATTCGTAATCAGCACAAAAAAGTCTACCCAAAACAGCTTTCACATTTGCCGCACCAAAATCAATGTTGCCCTGTGTAATGATTACAATAATATAATTTAGACCTAAAGTTTACAGTTTCGTTCGAATTAGAGCTAAGGTACATACATATGTATGACGTGAAACTGAAACGAAAACTATGGTAATTGCTTAAAGCATACATCTATGCCTGCAAATACAGCTCGGCCAGAATCATACTCATATATTGAGAAGAACAATAAATATTGAATTTAATGTACCCCGTCCCATTCCCATGAAGTTACCGAAACGACTCAGACCTCTTTCTAGCCAAGGCCAGTCAATCCAAAAACGATTGAACATTTTCGATACTAGAAGGAAAGAAAAGCCTGAAAAATTTCCAATTTTACCTGGTCATAGATAATACGGAGAACACGGTGTAACACTCAATATGAACCTTTTAAGTGACCTAGTACAGGTCGTAGGGCTGGTCGAGTAATTCACTGTGTTTAACATTTTTCTAACACCCTCATATCTCAACTTATTCTTCAAAAAAAAAAAAAAAACATTTTTACAAGACTTGCGCACTAAACAATTTTCAGCTCGGTAATTTTTTACCCAATTTTAAGTTTTTATATGACTTTGGAAAGAAGAATATTTGTACTATTTACGAAGTGAAGACATTGTAAATATGTTGAAAATTTTTGGAATAAATCTGAAATTTACACCAATTTTTATCATTTTTTCCACTTCTACAACATTTTATGCCAAAATTTCAAAATAAAATAGTCCATTTTAGTTATTACTTCAAAGGAATCTTTGATTCCGACTAGGTATAATTTTTAAAAATCAATAGAAAATTTTGTAAGATATGAATTTTGTAAAAATCTCTTCCAAAATTACTTCGGTGAAATTTCACAGTAATTTTGAATCAGTTCAATTCGATACAGTTTGAGGTTTCAATAATTCGTATGGAAAAATTTCAAATTGTCTCAATAAAAAATGGCATATCTTCAAAATTTGTTTAATAATTTTAATGAAGGGTACCTTATATTACTCGTAATTAAACACTCTTTCCGAAGTAGAAACTAAAAGATTCCATTTTCTTATGAAATTTTGGCAAAAAATGTCTTAGAATTGGAAAAAATACTAAAAATTAGTTCAAATTTCAGACAAAAAATTTTCCACATATTTACAATGTGCTCAAAAAATTTATTATTTCTTTAAATAGTACAAGTATTCTTCTATCTAAAGCCATATTTTAAATAGCAAGCAATGCGAAAATGATTATTTTAAGAATAAGTGGAAAATTACAGGGCGTTAGAAAAATTTTGAAAACTGTTAATCGGTCAGCTCTACGACCTGTGCTGGATCACTTAAAAAGTACGTGCAATTTTTTTTTTTTTTTTGTAACACCGTGTAATTGGCAAAGAGGGATAACTTTTCATCACGAAAAATAAGAATAATAAGATATACATGTATATACATATACGACACACTCCCAATTTTCTGGTTTTTCCTCCCATAAGAAAAAAAAATTATAAATAAAAAAAATACGAGTTTCGTTAATTACGAAAACCTACCATAAAAAAAAAAATTTAAATATTTTTTTTTTTAGGAGTTGAGTCATAAAGAATTGTCGAAATTAAAGTCCACATTTCACAGCAAATTTTTGGGTGCCATGGCTAGGACAGTATTCATTTCGGCCTATGTTCACGTTTGCATGCATTTTGCGATAACCTAACACTAGAGAGAGAATGAAAAAATAGTTGATAAATAGACCAAAATGATCGAAAGCACGCAGCAGCATAGCTCAAAAGAAAGAGGTCGAAAGTAAACCAAAGCGCAGCAGAGTCGCAAATCACTTAGCCTAACTGCTTGAAATAGTTTTACCAAAGCTGTATCAAGGTTTTTTTTTGCAGAAATTTAACGCAGCACGCTTTTGAGCGCAGGGCAGCTACAGCTATCGTTGAGTGCCTATCTATTGGCGCCTAACAGCTTGATTTACAAACATCAACGAGGTATTTTTTTTTTTTTTTGCCTCCACATACTTTTTACGTTACGCCAATTGATTTTGAAGCAATTAGTCTGATCCCCTTACGTACGTAATTAAAATCTTATGCGTATAGGTACAAGATTAATTTCCATCTTTGCTTAGCACGTAATACTCGTTGCTTAGCTAGTACTTAACACATACAAGCAAATAATTCATGGCCAAAGGCGCAATTATGCCAACTATGCCTCCGATAATCTCATTATTTATTATATTAATTTGTGACTGTACGAACTTAGTGGGCGTAACCATATATTAATTATTTTTTTAGTAGGTAAATAGATATGTATGTATGTGTGCATAAATGTATGTAAATAGCACAGTGTGTACTTACATCAAATTAACCAAAATCGCCAAACCCGATGTAATCAGCATAATCTTTGCGTCCACTTCAAAATCGCGATTAATCAAACGTTGCACGGCCAACCAGACGAGTATTGCGGTAATGACCCAAATCATCACAACGGAGGCCATGGCGCCGATAACTTCAGCGCGATACCAGCCGAAGGACATGCTGTTGGGTAGAGAGAAAAAGTAAGAAACGAATGAGTAAATGGGTAATAAGGCAGCGTAAGTTTGAACGTGCTGCGGATGAGAAATGAGAAAGTGTATTTAGTGAGGAAATTAAATTCGTTAAGGTAATCGGTTTGGCTTGCAAATTTTGGCACGCAAGAAAGTTAGCACCAAATTTATATGAATACTAGGGTGTTTCAGAAAAAAAAAAAAAAAATTCTTGGAACCATGCTCATAAGTTTCGTTTAGACGCTAAAATAAGTCTCAGAAAATATGAGTTTTTAATATTAATATTAAGAATGTCTGCACCGCACTTTTCGATTTCCCATAAGAATAACAGAGGATTTTTTTTTTTTTTTTGCAAAGATCTTGGCGTATTTTTTTAGAGAATTAAGCGCTCTACAAAATAGGTCTGAATTCATTTTTCGATAAGTCAACTCGGTCAAAAATTATTCGAAGTCATAGTCTTAGTATTAAGGGCTCATATTTTCTGAGACTTATTTTAGGACCTAAACGAAACTTTTGAGCATGATTCCGAGGAAAACAAAAATAAAAACGAATTTTGTGAACCACCCTAATGAATACAATAAAAGCTGCAGTGATGCTTCAGGCTATTAGGCCGGCTGCGGGTAGTTGAGCAAGGATTAAAAAAAATCGGATAAGCAGATATGATATTTATATTTCCCTTCTTTCGAATTTAAATAAAAATAAATAAATAAAGTATGAATGGTCATAGAGGTGGATGCTATTATGCAAGCTCTAGATACCGGGCAACCGCAAGTTATCTTGGATCTGGATTATCACGATGAGAGCTCATCTTTTTCCTATAATTTTTGCAATCCAAAATGAGTTCTAGTTTAAGAATTACGAGGAGGAATTATCAATCTCGGACTAGGGCTGTGAATCGCTATCTCCAATGGAGCAATTATGTGCGGACAGCGAGGCCCGGTAGTGTTAACTTCGGAGTGGTCCGATCTAGTATCCGAAATCTGTTTGGACTCCGAAAGTGACAACACGTTAATCCCCAGCTGATCAGAGTGCTCTTCGGTGCCGAAGGCCTAACCGAAGTCGGCACTTTGGTGAAGATAGTCAACATTGACCCCTTAACGGTTTTAAAACTTCATCTTCTAAGAAAGGTTGTGATAGGTAATACCGTATGCCATGAAGGTCCAGAATTTGTGAGATGTCTGCCTCGAGCAGAGTTAGGTTAGGTTAGGTTAGGTTAAGCGGGCAGCTCGCACAAAGACACATTACGATGCCCAGGCGGTTTCCCCATACCTATCCCTAAAAGTCTTGGAAGCATTTTGATTCTCTAGGTAATCCTAGATGTCCTTCCAGTAGAGCTTTCCTTAAAATATCCAGGCTCCCGAAGTGGTGATCCCGAAGAAATTTGAATCGTTTACCTCGAAGTGCTGGGCACACCCAGAGGAAGTGATTGACGGATTGTGTCTCCTCCTTATCACTGAACTTCTGCAGAAATCGTTCTACGGGGCTCCAAACATGGGTCGTTTCCTCAAGTCCTATCTTATATCCCTTTCTAACACATTCGTCCGCTCCTCACTTCCCGGAACACTACTATGTCCCGGGACTCGATAAAGATTGATAACGTGTTGCTGTAGAGCTTGTAGGGATCTTCGGCATTCCTTGGCGCATATCGAGTAAGTCTTTGCCGACTTTGATGACAGCTTGACTTTCAACAACGAAGGTAAGTTTAGATGAAGCTAGGTCGATCAACCTCACCCTCAACCTGACGATTGCATACACATATCTCAGCCTGGAAAAACACTGTCGTGATCTCGAAGTGTATAAGAGTCTCTCAGAGATAACTCCTGAGAGAAAACGCCAGATCATGTTTCGATGTCCATTTTGCAGCTGTCCTTGAAAATGGGTATTTCGTCATCTCTGAGAGTAATATTAAATTCCCTGTCACTTCTGTTACGAAACCGGATACCGGCATTTCGATCTAAGTCAGTTTCCGTGACCTAATAAACAGAGCTACTGTACTCCACACCCACTATATCAAAAATAGTGGCGTGGCACTTGCCCTGGATCATAGAGCGCTCTTAGCTGGGGTACTTTTGACATATAGGTCAATGAGTGGAATATCGAGAAGTGTCTCTAGCGCCGCCTGTGGCATTGAGCAGACCGTCCCCTAGTACATATTGTCCGTTCTGCTGCTTCCAAGGGCCGATTGATGCCGTGAATATCCGCCAGGAGGGAGAAAACGATGAAACCCAGCATCTCTTTGCATACAAAGAGCGCAACCGAGGCTTCTTTTGCCATAACCTCCACGTTGAACCCCAGCAGTTGATTATCCCATAACGAGTATACTTGCTCCCATGGGCTAAGGTCTAGACTAGTCCGGAAAATTATATTTCTTAGTATAGAGTACAAGATCCGTTTATTCCGCATTGATGCTGAGCCATACTTTGGTTGCCCAATTTTATTTGCCAATTTGTGCTCGGCTTATAAGTGAGCTAAGCGTGGACATATGACTATGACGTGGACTTCATTCGGGAAAACTGTGAGTGCAGCAGGAATTTCTTCCATTTTATTGAGCTTTTTTTTTGACCACCAGCGACCAAAATAGTTGCGACAGTACGGCCTTCTGTGGTGTAAATCTGTAGATCCCTGCCGTCTGTTTATGCTTTAAGTTAAGTGACAGTTTTGGTTATTTTACTTACGTTTATTTAAGGTTTATAACTTTTGTTTCATAAAAGCGTAGCACATAACATAACCAGCACTACACATTTTAAACTTTTTAAAAAATTAAAAAAAAAAAAATCCACAAACTTTAACAATCACACTCGAAAAGTTTTACACTTTTTACTTAAAAACATTGTTTGACAAACTTTAGGTATGCAAATGCAAATTTTAAAACGCTAGAAAATCGCGTTAATTTTTAATAATTCGTTTACTAACGGTGTTAGGCATACATACAAAATAATTGTCGAACATATTTTATATGGGAGAAAACAATTAACCCCGTCAGCCAAGAAAAAAATATTAAAAATTAGTGCAATTTCCTAGCGTCTTGAAATTTACCCTTTAATCAACTCAAATTAAACGGGATATAAAACTTCGTACCTAAAATTTTTCCAAAAATGTTAAACAAAAAGTTTTACAATTTTTCGAGCTTCTCTTTTCTTTGTATTGAGATCCTCAAAAGATCTTTGCAAAGGATCTTTGTAGTGGACAATTTCGTTAGGCGCAGTCCTTAGGTTCATTACCATATGCAATCTAATTTCAACTATATATATACACTGCCGCAACAAAGTATTGGCCCAGCAAATTTTTCACAATATATGCAACAATTTTCATTCTAATATTTTTCGGGTAATTTCGTATAAAAATATGGTTCATTCTACAACAAAAAGCATAAAAATATAATTCCTAAATTTTGTGCAAAACTCGCGAAAATTCAGCAAATTTTCATGAAAATTTTCAACTTTTTAATCAGATTTTTTAGAATTTTTTTGTAGCCCAGCCCATTTTATTATAATAAAGTGCAAGCTTTAAGCAGCTAGGAACTACCGTTGATTTTTGGCAATTTTTTTCACGCAGTCTCATCCATACAAAAAATTTTTTTCGAAAGAATGCAAAACACCTTCAACAAAAAAAAATCTCAAAAATCAACGCGATTTTTGACTAACTCCGTACTTGCATTTTTTTTACTAGAATTTAATGGGCTGCAAAACTGCATACTCAAAAAATTTTAAAAAATCTGATTGAAAAGTTGAAAATTTTGATAAAAATGTGCTGAATTTTCGCGAGTTTTGCGCAAAGATTAGGAATGATATTTTTATGTTTTTTGTTGTTGAATGAACCATATTTTGATATAAAATTGGCGGAAAAATATTAGAATAAAAACTGCTGCATATATTGTGAAAAATTTTATTGCCAATACTTTGTTCCGGCAGTGTATATATTTAGAGACTCCAGGGCTTGGCGTACATCTTAACTGCGAAGAAGAGTACAATCTGCCTGCCATACTTATTCGAATCCATTTCAATTGCTTAATTACAAGAAAGCAACTTCAAGAAAAAAAAAAAACATTAAGTATAAAAAAAAATCAGTCCAAACTGGAAAAGAAATAAAATATTAGCACAAGTTTTGCTTATACTTTTCAACTCACATCCACAGTTGCAGCCGGGACCAAATTATAGCAGTTGCAGCGGTGGAAGCAGTTGTGCGGCGGGCAGGCAGGAAGAATTCAGCGCAAAGTGCCTTTGAATATTTTATGAAAATGAGATTGGTTTTTGGGCTACTCGTACTCCTACCAGCCTTGCAGCAGCAGCAGGCAAGCGACTAACAGCCAATACTGGCTCGCAATCAGCACAGCAGGCTCCTCTTTCCCCACCCATATACATTCACTCATTCATTCCTACACTGACTCACTGGCACTCAAACATAGACGTTTTGATGTGGCTGGGTTTACTACTACAGCTTACACTGTTTGCATGCTGCGAGCTGCGAGCTGCGAGCTGTTTTTTGTATGCCTTTGCAGTGTAAATGTTGTTGTTACTTCTTTTATTTGCCTTGTTTTGTTTGGTCTGATTATTTTTGTGGTTTTCAGCCGTCAAGCAGTCACAACCAACATCAGACGAAATAAAATTGAATTGAGTTGAGTAATTTTTGTTGCGCTTTGTTTTATTACAAGCTTTCCGTTTTCGCTGTCTGCCAACCAGAACCGCAAAATGCGCCCTACACCCCACCCACTACAGTTCACCGGCTTCGCACGCCTACAGTCGACGAATCATCATAAAATTTTTGTACATATATTTTGCAACTGTAATTTCTCTGGTGATTTAACGCAATCAAATAAGCAAACAGAGTAAAACCGAATAATGAAGTTGTTTTTTTTTTTTTTTTTTTGTAGGGGCGCAGGTAACTACATACATACATAACAGCAGGTAACAGGTGGGTGAGTGGGCGGTGACTACTTACTGCGGCATTGGCTGCCAGATTGGCATTGTTGTGCATATTTTATTTAAGTAAATG